GGAGGCATGAGAAGGAGGAGGAGGAAGAGGGGAGGAGGAGGACGAGGAGGAGGAGGAAGAGGGGAGGATGAGGAGGACGAGTAGGAGGAAGAGGCGCGCCTCCTCCGCACGTCGCCCCAACAATCTCGGCGTAGAGGATGTGCACCTGGCTGGCGCCCATCCCCCCCGTCCCCTGCCCTCCCATGCCTGCCTGCGCCCAGCCCGAGCAGCTGGGATTGGCCCGCCAGACACATCAACGACGAAACCGTTGGAGCATCACACGATTGAAGGACCCCCACCATCGGCACATTGCCGTATATTCACTTCGCCACGGGGCGAGGTACCACGGCGCCGATGGCGGATGTCCTTTCATCATTGGTCGACCCAGTGGCAACGTGGCGAGGTCTCAGCAGCTTCACGCATTCAAACGGAATCTTGAATCACGCGTGGACCCCCAACAATGAAACCCATAACCTATATGTGCAAGCACTGTCTGAGGAATAATCATCGATGCGGCGACGCGTGGACCCCGACCAGTGGCATGTCGCAACCACGTTGCACAAGCACTGTTTGGGAACGGCTATCTTTTCTGACCCTCCGCCGCGCAAGCGCTCAGCTCGACCGCCGAGGTCGCGACTCCAGCAGTCGCGCGACACGGCCTGCTCGCGGGCCTAGAACGGCCCATCGCGGGCCCACACGGCGATCCCACTCACGGCGTGTTCGCGGGCCTACGGCCCATCGCGGGCCTGCACGGCGATACCACGCACAGCCTGGATGTCCTGCGAGTCGGGTCACACACGGAATGATCAGGACGAGGAGGATGAGCACGAGGAGGAGGACGCCGCATGAATGGAGGGCGGAGGGGGTCGGATACAGCGGAGGGCAAGACCTAAGGCAAGCACGGGGTACGGAGTGGATGCGATGAGTCGGTGGAGGGCGAAGGGGAACGAGGCAGGGAGGAGGGAAGAGGAGGGGTAGGAGGAGTGATGAGGACGACAAGGAGGATGATGGGGGAAGGATTACCAGAGGAGGGAAGATGAGAAGGATACGGGAGTGGGCAACTTACCCCACAGTCCTCCTGCGAGATGGCGGCGGGGTCTGAGTACTCGGCGAGCTTGGCCTTCACCTCTGTCGCAATGACCGCGATCAGCTCGTGGGCCCGCTCCTTGGCAGTCTGGTCGGCCGTCGCCTGCACCTCCAGGATCTGGCGCTTCTTGGCGTAGCCCAGCGTCCTCACGAACATCGCAAACTTGTTGTTGTGCGACGGCGACGCGATGAGCTCCAGCTCCGCCTACTGGGGCGATGCAAGCTTGATGGAACACACCCGCCCTCCTCGCCCGATCATCCAGGTGCCTGTCATATGACAGACTAGGCTGCCATATGACAGACTAGGATGTCATATGACATAGCAGGCTGTCACCTATATGACAGACTAGCTGTCATATGACAGAGTGGTTCCTGGCGACGGGGACGAGCAATGAGGGGGTGGGATAATATGTAAAACCCTGGGCCCCGACGTTTCCCCTGTCATCAGGGAGGGGGAACGTTTGCGACGTATCATCGCTGGCGGTATCGGGATCCGATTCCATGTCCAGCCTCTCCTCGGGGGGTTCCGTGGAGGGTGGACGGAGAAGATGGGCGAGTAAGAAGGGGAGGGGATTGTCGGAGAGGCGAGGAGGAGGCGAGGTGATTTTGAAGATTTGCAAACCACTGGCGGCCCCATCTGGCTCGGCCGCTGCAGCTGGCTCGGCCGCTGCAGGCCTGTGCACGTGCGCGGCTGGCTTATGCGTCACTTCTTCGTCGTCTGCATCATCGGGCAAGCCTCCCGCATCGACCAGCTCGTCGATCTCATTCGGAACCTCCTCTTCTCCATCCTCGGCCGCTGCGTCGGAGGCGGTCTCGCCCTGCTCGCCCCAGTGACCCGCAGGGCGCTTCCTCGCAGGCGACTCGACGTCGCCACCGTCCGTTGGAACCACACCTGCTGCAGCTTTAGCCTTTCCCTTAGCTTTTCCTTTGGCCTTCGCCTTTCCTTTGGCCTTCCCTTTGGCCTTTCCTTTGGCCTTCGCTTTGATCTGCGCCTTAGCTTTTCCTTTGGCCTTCGCCTTGCCCTTTCCTCCGGCCGTCTTGAGCTTGGGCTGGTCAGGCTTCTTCAGGGAGCCGTCGATCAGCCAATCGCCCGACAGCTCGCTCTCGAACGCGTAGTGCGCGCCGCTCTGCATCATCACTTTCGGCCACTCGACAACAACGAAGCCATCGTCGCTGACGCAGCACTTCTCTGCGGGCACGGTCCTGCCCGTGGATAGCATGAGTGCCAGATGAGTACCATCGTAATGTGTGAATATTGGAACCTCCTCGTCCTCCTCCGAACTAGATGTAGCTGTGGGCGCTGCTGGTTGTCGAGTACACGTCGTCAGCGGCTCCCTGAACATGATGAACGGGTTCGGGATCCTGCCATGGTTCGTGGCGGTGGCCGGTCCTACCACATCGCTGGATCGACGAGGCGACGACGATGGCGCGGGCGGGTTCTTGATGCAGGCGAGGATTTGCTGCAGATTAAGGAGCGCCTTCGCGCGTGCAGTGGGTGTCAGCTCCTATACGACAATCCAGGCTGTCATATGACAGACTTGGCTGTCATATGACAGACCCTGGCTGTCATATGACAGACTGGGCTGTCATATGACAGACTGGGCGGTCATATGACAGACTGGGCTGTCATATGACAGACCCTGGCTGTCATATGACAGACTGGGTTGTCATATGACAGACTGGGCGGTCATATGACAGACTGGGCTGTCATCAAACAATGGTAGTCCTTGAACTTGATTCTGACGTGGGCGCACATGACCCGCAACTTCAAAGCGAAGAGCTCGGACATCGACTCGAACGCGAGGCCTAGTGCCCTGGCGATCCGCCGACTCTGAGACACCCATTTCTTAGAAGTCATGATGTCGTTCACCGCGGCGGCGACGTCCAAGTGATCGAAATGCCACCCACGATCGTCTATGCTCATCAGCGCAATCAGCGCTTCGCTGTAGTCCAGCATCTGGTCGCCGTCGACGCCCGCGCGGGTGTCCGTCGACGAGTACTGGATGCCGTTCTTATCCATGACGTGTTCCCAAACAGGGGCAAGCGCATCCTAGTTGACGCAGCCAACATGCGAGGTGGATGAGGCTGGGGAGGAGGAGGGGGAGGGGGATGAGGATGAGAGGGAAGATGCAGTGGTGGAGGATTGGAAGGAGGCGAGGGGTGGGGGGGCGGAGTTCCCCGTGGGCGGCCATGGATGGCCTCGGAGGCCTTGGGCCCGTCAGCGGGCTTGAAATTTCTCGCGCGCCCCATCTTTGGGGCCAACCTGGAATGAAGCTCGAGCCGAGCTTGCAGCAACGAAGCCGCGACGACGATGACGATGACCCCCACGACGAAACAACCGAAACAATCGATGCGATCGTCGTGCGCCCCAGGAAACATGCCTCCTGGGGCGTTCTCGCCGCCGCGACTGGGCCCACTTCGAGCTCATGGTCAGAACGCGCGCTCGAGCGAGGACGACGATGGCCCCCACGACGAAAACACCGAACACATCGAGGCGATTGTCGTGCGCCCCAGGAAGCATGCCTCCTGGGGCGTTCTCGTCGCCACGACTGGGTCCACTTCGAGCTCATGGTCAGAACGCGCGCTCGAGCTCCGACGGGTTTTCCTCTGCGTGGGAGCTCATCCTCATCCCCTTCTTCATCCTCCTCCTCCTCCTCCTCCTCCTCATCCTCGTAGTCGTTCGTCCTGCCACTGCTGTTGTTGTTGTTGATACTGTTGCTGTTGCTAGTGTTGCTGCTGGCATTGCTGTTGTTGTTCCTCCTCATCCCCCTCCTCCTTCTACTCCAAGTCTTCCACCTCATCCTCCTCTTCCTGTGCTCCTCCCACTGCCCCTCGTATTCCCCCCCTTCTTCCTGCCCTGTGCCCCTCTCCCTGCTGCCGTTGCTGCTGCCCCCCCCCCCCCCCCCCCCCCCCGCACGGCGTCGGCGCCGCGGGGCCGCCGCCAGCGCGAGCAGCGCGGGGATGGCGCGCACCGCCATGGCGCCCAATGGGGCGCCGAGGGGGGCGTCGAGGCGCCCAGGGGGGCGCCGAGGGAGGCGCCCGGGGGGCGCCCGCGGCGCCGAGAGCCAAACACGCGGGGCCGCGTGGGGGGGGGGGAGGAGGGGGGAAGAGAGAGAGAGAGAGATATATATATATATATATATAGACAGAGAGAGAGAGAGAAAATGAGAATGAGAATGAGAGAGAGAGAGAGAGAGAGAGAAAGAAAGAAAGAGAGAACGGAGAGCAAGGGCATCGATCCGCGCCCCTTTGTCACGCTGAGGCGTCGTCGAATGCCAGTGCTGTCTGGTAGTGTTGCATACCACATATACAACGTTTGATCACACCATTAACTTGTGTGTATGTAAAATGTATATGTATATGTATATATGTATATATGCGTTTCTGCATATGAATATATATATATGTGTAAATACAGATTTATATGTATATATATATATATTGACGCATCAGCATAACATAGCATAACACAACATACCATATATATATAGCTCTCGTCTGGCTAGACTGGGCGGGGACCCCTGCGGCGGAGCTGAGCCCGAGAGGGCTGCGACAGAATACAAGCGCACGAGTGTCTCACTCACTTTTGCGACACACGTGCGTTAGTCCTCGAAGGTATCCCAACACGAGCCTGCTGCTGCCACTGCCTGCTCACGCACGGCCTTTGTCCGGGCGGGCAGGCACACTCTGAAGCTGGCTCGATCTCAAAATCACAACTGCCGAAAAAAGAAAAATGGGATGGCGGTCGGGGTGGAGGTGGCTGCGCTTGAGGCCCCCCCCTTTCCCCTACCTGTCTCTGCCGCCTCCCGAGAGCTAAAGGGCAGCTCTCGTCTGGCTAGACTGGGTGGGGACCCCTGCGGCGGAGCTGAGCCCGAGAGGGCTGCGACAGAATACAAGCGCACGAGTGTCTCACTCACTTTTGCGACACACGTGCGTTAGTCCTCGAAGGTATCCCAACACGAGCCTGCTGCTGCCACTGCCTGCTCACGCACGGCCTTTGTCCGGGCGGGCAGGCGCACTCTGAAGCTGGCTCGATCTCACAATCACAACTGCCAACCCCACCAGCCTTTCGGGAGGGCGGGCGGGCGCGAGCGAAGCTCCACACATCGGCGAAGCCGTGGTACACGAAGCCGTGGATCCTCCAGCTCGGCGCGCGGGCTGAAGTCAACCTCGAAACCGACGCTGGAGGTAGGCTCCCACGATGAGGGTCACTGCATATTTTACCCAGCCACCCTTCTTGGTCTGCAAGGTGACTGGCGGCGCCGGCTGTGCCAGGGTCGGGGCCGGCGGCACGTCCACGACTGCAGACGCCATGGTGGTGGCGATATCCACGGCCCCGGCCTGGAGCTGCTCGGGCAGGTCATCTAGCAGCTCCACAGTCTTGTCGGCAGCGGCGGTGGCGGTCTTGTCAAAGACGAGGTCGACGAACTCAACCGAGGCGTCCACCGCGGACGTCACAGCTGGGCCGACCACTTCTGCCACCTGCTCTATATGATCGGATAGGTTTGCCCAGACGAGCGAGGCGTTCTCGAACACAGTGACGACAGCCTCGGCAACATCTTGGGCACGAGTAGCCGCCGAAGTAACTGCATCTGCACCGCGACGGCCCAATCGATAGACACTGGCTACCGAGCGGTCCGCCGCATGCTCAAGGACTCCGAAAAAGATACTCGCCAGACAGTCCACGATCCAGTCGGGCCTATAGAATAGCAGAATCGCGAACACACTAAGGAGCGGCCAGGTCAGAAACTTGAAGTGCCTCCCGTCGAAGATGCTCTGGACGAAGTCGTCCAGCCAGAGGAGGCGCAGCAATGCCACCACGATCCCGCAGACGCCCACCATGACAGCACCAGCCCGTAGCGGGCGGGCGGCTCGGCTTTGCCGGAGGTGACGGTCTTGACAAGGTGCTTCGGGACTGCGACGACCAAGGCCTCCTTTGGGCCTCCCGCTTCATCGCCATCCCGAAGCGGTCCTGCGCACAACGTCTCCGGCATGATGGCGCCGAGCTCCTCCAAGGCATGCATTGCACGGGTGTAGGCACGTAACACTTTCAATGGATACGACTGACTCTGACGCGAAGCCACTTGCTTCGCATAATCTTGCTTTCCTTCAAAGACTGCTGCAACTGATTCTCCAAACGCTATCTTTCCTGCTGATACCTCGACCTTGCCCGCTGCGTCGAGCATGACCGTTGCCGACTGGCGCAGGCGCGCTGTCGAGGGTTTATCCGATGCAGGGCGGGCCGACATCCAAGCAGCTGAACTCTGCTCGAATGCGGCACAAAACTTCGGCAATGCTGGGCTCGAGATCGAACAAGGCTGCGGCAGCATTGGCCTCCTGGATGTAGTGTGCAAGAGAACGCTCTGAAGCCCATCTCCCATGGAACTTTACCCAAGCAATATTTCTGGTGCGCATAAACAGCTCGGTCGCTCCGCCCGCTCTAAGACCCGCTAGCGTGAACTGTGGGATCCCAAGCTGCTTGACGAGGCCCACGTGGATCTGTCGGAGGCCCGAGTAGCCAGAAGGGAAAACTGGGTCGTCAGGCCCCACTCGATGCATCCACCATTGAAGCCAGGCCACGGTGGAGGGGCGCGTCAGCAATACCGTCTGTCTCTTGCCCAAGAAAGCTTTGTTTTTCGGACTCTCGATGACCGGCACAGCCTGATCTGACGACTTCCTGCGGTTAAAGCGGACGTGCATACCCTTAAGGTTCGCGCCCTCCCCCGGCCTCAGTAGCCCGTCCATGGCCACCCGCACGAAGATGCTGTACTCTAGCAGCGCCAGGCACGGCGGGCGGGACAGGAGCAAAGCCTTGGCCAGCGCCCACCTCCGCAGCGTGCGCTGGATCTCCCGCGGGATGGGCGCGCGCGTCTGCGAGTCCTCGCCGAAGGCCCAGGACCTGACTGAGTCCCAAGCCCCGCCCAGCTGCCCTCTCAGGTCAGGGCGGCGCTGCTGCACCGCCAACACTGCGCACCTAGCTTCTGCGATCGGTCTCTTTTCATTGAACAAGTACTGAATCACCTCTATCAGACGCTTGACCACTCTGCCTCGGGAGGCGTCTGGCAGCCAGCGGTCCAGCCGGCCCCAGCCGTGCGAGCGGCCGTAGGCGGTCAGCTCATCCGCTGCCTTCACGAGCCTCCCAGCGTGGGCTTCCCCGTGCAGCGAGGCCTGCAGATCACGCCGTTGAGGATGACCCGCAGCAGGACCCTCGCCAGGAAAGCCCAGCGTGCTGTCAATGATAGCTGACACCCCGCGGCCCCACCTGCATCGGCGAGCCACGAAGTCTCGTCTCGGCGGCAGCCAGCGCGGCCGCGAGCGCCTGGGCAAACTCGGGCGTGTAGGCCGATGCCAGTGCCGCCCGCTTCTGCCAGCGCCCTGCAATCTTGACCGCGCCCTCCAGGTGCACGTGATTGCACTTGCCCTGACAGCGCCTCCCAAGCCTCCGCAGCTCCGGGAAGTTGCCGAGCAGGTAGGTACTCTTCTTGCGCCTCGCCTCCGGCTCGTCTGGCGGCGCGAGGCCGAACTGGCACATGTCGCACTCCACGAGGTACACGCCTTCACGGGCCATGAGCCGCTGCATGGCCGGCTGGCGAAACAGCCACGAGCGGCGGGGGTTCTCGACCACCCACAGCCCGCCCTCCTCGCCCAGCGCGGTGCAGCCCGCTGCCGTGGTGAGGCCGAGGCTGTTGCCCTGGCGCTCAGCGGGCCGGGTGCCGTCGCCTTGTGGTCGGTCAGCCGTCCGCGTCCCCGGGCCGCAGTTCTGGCACAGCAGCCCGAACGTCGTGCACGGCGTCGCCCACACACCGACTCGCACCGCATGGGCGCGGATCTGAGCCAGTTCACGCCTCGCGTTCGCCGCCAGCAGCAGGTCGTGCTCCGGTCTGTAGCCCTCGGGCGGGTAGGCGTCCAGCGGCGGCTCGATCCAGGCCCCGGCGGCAGCCCAGGCCCTCGTCACCTCGCCTTTCCCAGCAAAGTACTCCCGCTTCTGCCAGCGCCTGGCACGGCCGCCCGGCACAGCCCAAGGCAGCGGGCTGCACGGCGGCGGAGCGCAGACCTCGGCAGCAGACGAGCCAGCAGCAGCGCCGACTGGGCCGGGCGCCTCCTCCGCGCTGACGCCCTCGGAGGTCGCCTCTGCCCTGGCTTTGCCCTGGTCCGCCGCGGGCGCGTCGGGCGAGCCAGCAGCCCGCCTGGCCTCGGCGCGAGCGGCCGCCGCGCTCGCCGCGCGCCTGCTGGCCTCTATCCAGGCTGGCGGCGGGCCCGGCTCGGGCAGCGGCCGAAACCTGGACGGGGCGTCCGCCGGGTTGAAGTGCGTCCCGATCCAGACTAGAGCCACATGGCAACGGCAGCTCAGCAGGTAGGGCATGACGGTACGCAGAATGCCATTTAGCTTGAACGATGATGAGCGCCCCTTTCCGAACGCTCCTGCACACACACGGCTGTCGACCCCGCACACGAACGTGGTCCCTGCACTCTCCCGACCCCTCGAAGCTTCTTTCCCCCGTCTTCTTTCTGTGATGCCATTCGCGTCGTCGATCTGGTCCGAGCCCCTAGTCACGCCCACGACCTTCCGGGAGACGCCCTTCGAGTCGTCGAACTGTTTCGGAGCCCTACGCCCAGGACGGCCCGAACTCCCAAGACCTGCTGCACCCCCAAACGCTGGAGCCTCAGGGACCTCATTCAGCACCTTCTGGATGTTCTGGAAACCTCTACGTCTGATCTCGCCTTTCAGCGCCCGCATCTCCTGAAGATTTATGTGACTATGCTTTGTGAACCTACCTCCCCTCTGCACCTTCCAGTCGAAGCTCGCGAAGGCCTCGTTTATGTCACTCAAGGGCCTGCACATCCTGGTGGGAGCCAGGACCTGGTCGATCTCGTTCCAGTCGAGCCTCACGTGTTCACCTCTATGAGCCCCAACCCTGAAGAGCGCCCTGGAGATCTTACTGGGGACCTTCGCCGTGCAGGACCCGTACGAGTCCTCGGTCGCGTCGCTCGCCGAAACCTCGGGGTCCACGGGCCAACGGATGTGAGCAACTCCGAGGGCGAGGAGGGCGGCGGCGGCGAACAGCTCGTCTCGAATGTCTGCGGGAATCGTGACCAGATCTCGCTCGGAAGTCAGGCTTTCTAACCATGTGAACGAACGATGGAAGCAACCAAAGAGCTCGCGACGATGGCTGAATGGGCGAACGTAGTTTGCAAGCAACATTCTGAACATCCCTTTTGAAATCTTTTTGCTCTCCAGAATGTCCAAGGTCAGCGAGGCCAAGATCCGCCGCTTGTGCAGCGGGCTGCCGACCTCGCCAGGCCCGTCTCTCACCTCCGTGCCCCAGGCGGTGAAGTCGGGCTGCTCGATAACGTCCTTCTCCACTGAGCGAGGCAGCCCGGCCTGCTCCCAGGCCTGCTTGGCCCGCTCGCCGATCTCCGTGTCGCGGAGGCCCTTGCCCCGCTCGCTGTCGCTGAACACCTGCACGGTCAAGTGATCGTCGAGGTAGTTGCCCTCCCAAGTCCGGCCGACAGGCACGGTGAGCTGGGCGTTCAACGACTCGGCAGGTGTCATGCACCCACTCTTCCGAAGGATGCTCACGTTCGTCTCCTGGCAGACGTCGCACGAGTTGGCGTCGCCCATGCCCCAGACGGTCAGCGCCACGAAGTAGTGCTGGTTCGGGTCCGGGGCCAGCTTCCCCAGCTGTCGGCCCTGCCAGGCCCGCCCGACCACGTTCCGCGACTCCGTGCCCTGCGGCCGCTTCACCTGGTAGAAGTAGGTCTTCAGGTCGCACACGGTCCCCCTGACGTGCTCCGACGGCGAGTTCAACCTCAGCAACTTCAGCTGCTCTCCCGACGGCAACTGCAGCCAGGCGAGGCGCTCCTCAGTCGCATTCTGAGGACGCCTATCTTGAATCAGACGGTCCCACTTCTCGCTGTGCTCGACCGCGAACCAGCCCGACGCCAGAGGGCACCCAGCCTTGTCGCGCGGCACGTCGCAGGCCGGGACGAGGGTCCCCATCCCGCGCTCCAGGAGGTCCTTCACCAGCTTCAGCTCGTTATCCTTCGAGATGCGGTGGCACCTCCTCGGCAAGGGCGCCGGCCAGGCCTCGGGAGCCAAGCAGCGGTCCATGTAGCTGACGTACTCCGCGAGCTGCTTGCCCGTCAGGTGGTCAGCAGGATCGCAGCCTGGCCCAGGGGTCTTCAACTTCACACGGTCGGGCTGGACCTCCAACGCACGCGCCAGTGTGTCCGCCGACAGCTGTCCTGCTTGCATATCCCAACCAGGTTCGGTATCTGGGCGCTGCTGCCGCTCGTACGCCTCACCGGGTAGAGATGCTAATTCGGAAGCCAACTTCTGTAGCCTCCCCAGTCCTCGTGCTGCGTGAGCGTCACGTCCAGCAGCACGGCAAAACTCGAACACATCCTGAAAGAGGTTCTCCGCCGCCACCCGTCGTGCAGGAGACCAGCGGAGGTCAGGGTAGGCTGCCGCTGCCTTCGGGCAGCCGCACTCCCAGTAGGAGAACATTGAGACGAGCACGTTCGTGAGATGCTGGGCCCTCTCGGTCATCCGCAGCTGCTTCCGACCAACGGGGTCCGCCTGCTCCCTCGACGCGCGCACCGCCACCTCCACGAACGGCAGCGGCATGGGGAAAAGCCTCTCAGGATCTGCTGAGCTGGACAGCCCACTGTCCAGGGTAGATTCGCACTTGTGTGTCGCATTGCGGTGCCAATGCCAAAACCTCCCAAACGGCGTGCCTCTGAGGAACTGGCCGCAGCGCCAGAAGCCCCATCTCCCCAGACACGCACCTGCCCTCAAAGGGGGCGGCCCGCTCAGGCCCCCTCCTTCTTGGGCTTCTTCTTGTACTTGCTCTCCGGGCCCTTGTCGTTGGCCCCCGCTCCCGCGTCGGCCCCCTGGGCGTGCGACTCCTCCGGGGTGGCCACCAGCCCGCCGCGCTGCTCCACCTTGGACTCCAAGGCCTCCAGCTCCGTGATGTAGGCCGCCACCACCTCCGTCTCGAACTCGCCCCCTGCGAAGCCCCGGCGGCTGCAGGGGTCGACCAGGCCCGACAGCGGCCACGCCGCCTTCCACGAGCCCTGGTTGATCGCCACCTGCTCCAGGGCCTTCATGATCTGCACCAGCTGCCCATGCGCCTCGTCGAACTTCTCGTTGTCCATGTACTCCAGGACCGCGACCAGCATCGCGTACGTCTTCTTCAGGTCGTACAGCTTGCCCCACGGGATGTACCTCTTCCCGTAGTCCAGGTACGTCCAGGCCATGCCGTGCTGCACGCCGAGCGCCCGCTTGACCTCGGCCCCGAACGCGCGCACCACTCGAAGAGGGTGGCGCTTGACCCGCCGCCGGAGGCGTCTCATGCCCCGCACGGCCTCGCCTGCCTTCCCGACGCTGCCCAATCCACCGATCGCCTCGTCCTCGTCGCCCGACGAGCTCGGCTTCTTGCCCGTCTCGAGCCGCTCCAAGACCTCAAGCATCCGAAGCTGCAGCAAGCTCTGCAACCCGTTCGGGTCGAGGCTGGCCGCCGCCGCCGTCGCGCCGCCGCCGCTGGAGCCCGCCTGCTGCCCCGCGGGCGCGCGGGGCGGGGCCTCCTCGTCGCTGCTCGACAGGAGGCGCCGCCGCTCGCTCCGGCCTCCCGCGGCTCGTGGCGCCTGCTCGGCCGACGGCGCCGCGCGCCCGTCGCGCGGGTCGGCCTCGGCCTCCGACTCCGACGAGCTGTCCTCCTCGGCGGCGGGGGCCGCCGACTGCAGCCGCCTCGCTGCCCGCGCGACGAGCTGCTCCAGGCCCGGGAGGCCCGCGCCCGCTCCGGCCGCGCGGAGCAGCGCCCGCTGCCCCAGCGCCGCCGCGGCCGCCCCGCCTCCCGGAGCGCCCTGCGGCAGCGTCTCCGTCGGCGGCGGCCTCGGCACCTCCGCGTCCTCGGTGGACGCGTGGATGCCGCCGCCTGCCGCCACCAGCCCAGCCTGGAGCGCCTCGAGCTCGAACCTCCTCTCGCCGAAGTGCATGTAGTCGTCCCCCCATCCCTCCGGCGCTGCGTCGCGAAGCCGACGCTGGGGCACGACCACGAACCCCACCTGCACCTCGTCACCCGCACGGTCTCTCACCGCCGCCTCGTAGGCGGCGCCACCCACGGCTCGGGCTGCGACCGCGGGGATCGCCAGGGAGATGTGGGCCTCGTGGACCTCCACCACGAAGCCCCCCACGTTGATCGCCTGCCGTCGGCCGGCCTCTCCGCCCGCCACGCGCGCGAAGGCCAGGCCGCCTGGGGCCCAGGCCATGGCGCTTGCACCCGCGCAGCTGCCAGAGCCAGCCAGCTGCGCTTGAGGCCCCCCCCCTCTCCCCTACCTGTCTCTGCCGCCTCCCGAGAGCTAAAGGGCATATATATATATATATATATATATATATACCGCGACAAAGAAAGCCAGAAAGAAAGCAGGATCCCGACATCTCCCGCCAATGTTTAGCAGGATCCCGAAAAAGAAAGCCGGATCCCGACATCGCGGCCCGTTTCCCGACAACCCGCCTTTCTTTTGTAAGGAACACCTTTCTTCAAGCAGAAAGGATGCTCAGGGTCAATGGAGCTGGCGCAGGTTCGGCCACACGCAGGAGTCCGGCAAAACTTCCCACTGCCTGCGACTATCTTCACAAGGGGCAGATGGACACCTGCGCCGTCAGCATCGCCACCCCTGCTCGTCCACGAACGGTCGAACACGACCCCCCAGAGGACGCTGGCCTCGGCGCCGCCCGCCTCCCACAAGCGGTGCAAAGGGGTGTCTTGGAGATGCCCACCCAGAGGGGGCGCCAGTTCGAAACCGCCCCCCCGCTGGGGGCCGCGCGCAGCGAGTGCCCAAGCGACACCTGATGATTAAATGCAACTACGCGCCCCTGACGAGGTCGACTATTCTCGCGCGCGTGCCAGAGAAACTCGAACGCCGATGGGCCCAGCTCCCCATTGGGGCCCCCCAGACCAATTGAACTGGCCCGGGGGCCCTGATGGACCAGAGAAGGAAGAGGGGGAGGAAGAGGAAGGCAGCCGTTAACGAAGATCCCACGCGAGAACTGAGCCAGCGCAGGTCGCGCCGGCTGCCACGACGCGCCCAGGGACACGCAGCATCGGGCGACGCGGAGGAAGTGGCGCGCGCAGCGTGCAACTTCCACTTCCGAAATTCGCCGGGGTCCGGAACTGGCCCCAACCTCACCTCGGTTGCCCGACCTGCCCGTCGCCAATGATCACGGGGAGCCGGCGGCGGCGGAGGGGCGCCTCATACGCCTCCGCTCCCGCCAGGCGGTGCCAGACCCAGGGAGAGAGCTGCGACTGTCTTTGCCCCCATCATCCCCGCCGCCGGAATTACCCCCGCCCCCTCCCCCCCCATCGCCCCCGGCCGAACCAGACCCGAAGGGGAATCGGCCGGGGCATCTGACACCTCCCGGAGGTTGAACTACCAGGGGGCCCGGCGAGCACGCTGGAAGCCGCGAAAATGGCGCCTCTGTGGGGAACTGAGGAATGCCATCGAATATCCACTCCAAAGTAGCAGGGGGCGCGCACTCCTTGACCTCGCGTCTCTGCGACGGCGAAGGGGTGGGATGTGGCGTTGTCCGATCCGCATTGCTTCACGTTCCAGAGCTCTTCCCTCCCCTCGCGGAATTGATGCAGGATTTGGTTTGCGCCTCGATGAAAGCGAGTTGCTGCGCGACCGCCGCTAGCTGGCGAGATGCCCTCTTTTTTGCCTTCTCATTATTATTATGTCTATTGTTCTTCTCCTTCTTCCAGCCACCCCTGTTCTGCATCAGATTCGGCGCCCGCCTTTACCGCGAGCAAAGCGCGCGTCGCCCGGCACCAGCGCCCGCGGACAGCGCGGCGCGCCGCATTGGACGCAAGGGCCCCGCATCGTCAACCAACGCAAAATGCAATTCCCCAACGGAATGCCGCCCGCCCCCCCCCGGGCGCTTGCGATGACTGCGGGCGCCCCAAACAATCCAGAGCCACCCCGCCCCCGCTGCCAACCGACTGAATCGGGGCAGGGGCAGGGCCACTCAGACTAGGGGGCCGAACACTCCTAGGACGACCTAAAGTCTCAGCCCTAGCGCTGGCCCAACAGAGAGTCCCTGGATCTCGCGCGGCCAAAGGGTGCTCTCAGACGCCGCGGATTGATTCTGAGGCGCGGTCAGCCTCCCTTGCAGCTCAGTTCGCTCATGGGCGAATTCGGATTGGGGAGATTCAATACTGCTTCATGCGATTTCTTGTTTGATCACGTCGCCCCTGATTTCCCCCCTGCATCGATGGCGGCTTGCTCCCTGAGATACGCCCGCGGGATCGCACGATTTGCCCTCTCCCTCTCGCGCTGCGCCACGCTGGCAGCCTGAGCCGCCCTTTCACGAAGAGCTGCCGCCACTTTCTGCTCGGAACAAGATGCCGCCACTCAGACCCTCTCTCATTCGCGCTGAATTTGTCGCTCATATGTTACTCCTCCATGGTTGCCAACCGAGCTGCTCCCTCAGCTTTCTTCTTGTCGTTCTCAGCTTCTTATAGTGGCGGCTGAACTGCCCCCGGGGTCGCTTGTTGATTCATGTGAGTATTCTAAACGATCGGCATAATTCGCTCCTTTTCTCGCTCAAACCTTCCCATGCGAATCTTCATATGAGCAGCCATCTGCTCGCTGAGGAGCCTGTTTCTCTCGCAGCGGCCTTTTGTTTTTCGGGTTGTTGCCATGCCATATACATGATGCGTCGGCAGTTATGTTCTTGCAAATCAACTCGCTCCGAACAGAGCAACCTAACACTGCAATGCTCGCATGTGACGGAGCACGCTCCCGACACTGGCCCACGGCAAAGCCCGTTCTCTCTTCGCGCATTCCCCAGGCACCGATTCCCCGCCGAAGCCGGGCAATTGGCCCCTGGGCCCAGCAAGGCACCAAACTAGAAGGCTCACTAGAAGAGGACTGTCCATAAGGGCTACAAAATTCGCGGCCGCTCCCCATTCTAGCACGACCTGCCATAGGCGACCCGAGCGTAGTATTTTCCACGGGGATCGGAGATCTCGGAGACGGGGACACAAGATCCATGCCTGTTCCCCACTTTTCCGCACTTGAGCTTGACAGGCTGAAGCTGCCAAGCCGAAGACCTCCTCATCTACCCCTTCCACCTCGCGAATGATGGGATGGCGAAACACCGCTGCCTGGCTTCCGGTTGAAACGGACGTCTGCGTTGGCAAATTTTACACCTCCATGCTATTATCGGATCGTGCCTTTGCCCTTCTTGGGAACGGCGTATCCCCAGGGCGATCCTTCGTATGGTCTACCATATTTGGTTCCCCAGGGCTCAACGTGACAACTGGTGATTGAATGAGTTCTACAAGCTCCGCTCCAGTGGATGATCGCTGACAAGATAAATAAAGGACGGTTGCACCACAACCCAGTATGCTGGCACGTTCGTCTGACACCACGCCACGATCTTCAGCTAAACCGCCGGTTCAACCAGCAACTTCGCTCGCAACGTGGCGCGACACTGCTTTCAACGATGAACTCAATGAGCTGATCTCTGAATCAATGAATGCAGATAGTTCTCGATCTACATTCATCTCACGTTGGTGTTTCCTCTATGACTATGGGGATCTCCATTCTGAAAATGAACAAAGG